AGTGTCTCTGGATTTGTTTCTCTAATCAACCCTGACTAACACACCCATCAATTCCCTTTTCCCCATTTACTCATATAATCTGAACTCTCCTTTATTGTCAAGGACCAAAGTCATCAGTAAATAAACTGAGTGCCTGTAAACAGGAGCTCGGGGTGGGACGCCTCAGAGTATTTACTTGAGTTAGGTCTGCTGACTCACTGAGTGGAAAAACGGAATGCCTCCAGGCAAGAAGCTTCCAGATGGATTAAGATGCTCCCAAGCTGAGCTAAACACTTGTAACACTTGCCCAAGTAGGGCAGAGGCCAAGCTGATATCTCCAAAGCACCAGAGAACCAGGAAGCAGAAGCTAGAGAGACAAGGGAATTAGGAAGTAGGGCTGCCTCAGTCTGAAAAGATAGTCAGACTTTTGGAGTCTCAGAGTTTAGAAGCACGGCCTCTGGGTTTCTAAGAGTAGGGCCAGTTTCCTAGATCTTAGAGTCCGATCTTCGTCAACTTGCTTCTGGAGTAAGGGGTTTCCATTAAGATGGGGTTCTCTCCCAAAGCTGAGGGGGTGGCATTGCCATGCCTGAGCAAGTAGACGGGGCCCTGCAGGAGTGGGGTCACCGCTCAGACTAGGAGAATGGGGCAGCAGAGGGAGCACTGGGCTTGGAAGGCAGAGCTAATGCCCGACATCAAATCAAATGGCCACCATTTCTTTTTAAAAGAGTTTCCTTCAATCTCTTTCTTCTTCTGAAACTCCAATTATATGTATGTGAGACCACTGGGTATTCTCTGACACCTTTCTGAGGTTCTGTTCATTTTTTCCATATTTTTTTCTCTCTTATTTTCCAGTTGGGAAATAACTGACCAATCTTTTAAGTTCTAGGAAGCTTTTCTATTTATGTCCATTTTACCATTAGATTAATCTGATAATTTTTAATGTCTAAGATAATTTTTAATCTTAGCATTTTCAGTTTTGATGGTTCCTATTTTGTTCAAGATTTTCCATTAATCAATGTGGGAATACTTTCTTTATGCTATTGGGAATATATTATTCCATTTTCCCATAATATTGAATAACATCCTAGACAGTATAAATGTTAAGTTGTGGAGACAGGATTCCACTTTTTCTCTTGAGTAATGTTTTATTTTTACATTGATAAATATGTTTAATAAAACGTTGCCATTTTAATCATTTTTATATGCACAATTTGGTTACATTAACTACACTCATTGTGTTAGTCTGGGTAGACTAGAGAAACAAATCCATGGACTCACATATGTGTATAAGAAAGAGGTTTATATACAAGAGCAATTGAACATAGGGAAAACATCCCAATCCAGTCCAGTCCAAAGTCATAAGTCTGATATTAGCCCATATGTCCAACACCAATCCATAAAGTCCTCTTCAGACTCACGAAACACATGCAATGATGCCAAATGCAGAACAATCACAGGCCAGTGGATGCAAAGTCAGTGGTGGTAGAAGCATCTCAGCACTGGCAGGGGTCTCCACGTGGCCATTCCAGTTCCCAGGGCTGCATCAGAGTAGATCCATGTGGCATCTCCTCAGGGATGCCTCGCAGGAAGTCAGCCTTATCAGTAGAGAGTCTCCAAGGGAATGAAAGGTGAGAGATAGTGTCTCCTGCCTCCAAGAAGGAATTCCCAGATTTCCCAGAATTCTCAGGAGAAGGCCATGCCCACACAGAAGTCTCATTGGCTAATTTCAGATTGACAGCCTAGACTCCACCCCTACACTCCTTAAATTGACACCAGATTAGGTGACTAACACACTCATAATGCTGTGTGCTATCATCATGACACCCATTTCCAAAAGTCCTCCATCCCTTCAGACAGACACACGGTACCCCTTCATCCCTCATCTCTGCTCCTCCAAACACAGTGCGATGGACCCAATTCTAACTCATGGCAACCCCAGAGGACCCTATGGCCGTGAGTTTTTGAGATTTTAGATAAGTGGGAACATGTAATATTTGTCCTTTTGTCTCTGACTTATTATATTCTAATTTTGCAACTTTTTCATTTTAACATGTAATTAATTATCTTGTGTGTTCAAAACTACAACGCTGTTTCTTGGGCTGCAACTCTGATCTCTGTTCATACCTTTTGTTTTTAGCTGAGCGGCTTTGAAACTCTGATGCATATATGTGGTTCAAAATAAGCAAGCAGGATCAACAGACAGATTTGGGGATCTCTTCTCTAGTTCTTTCTTTCCAGAGTCTCCAATCTCACTCACTGCCAAGTTTTCCTCAAATTCTGCCTGGTTTCCCAGGCCAGAAGGACTACAATTTTTCTACATCTGATTCTATCTCGCCTCAGGAACTCATTCACTACAACTTTCTCCCTCCAAGTGTAAACTCCAACTAGAATCTGTGGACTTCTGTTCCCTGCCCACAACCTCCAGGTTGCTGCTCTTTGTATCACGTACAGAGTTTATAGTTATTATGGGCTGTTAGAAGTTTCCCACTTCTGAAATGAAACTCAATAATGGATTTTCTAAAAGTTAGGTTTATTGTGCCAACCTGGCCAATAGGCTCATGTGGGATTAATCAGATGGCAGTGTGATTAGAGGGCAAAGGGATAAATGGCTCTGCACGGCAGGCCCCATCTCTCTTGCTCTCTGGTGATCAGAGCACTCTGGAGTGTGCTGCTGCTTTAGCTAGCTCTCTGCCTCAACCTGTGAGCTACACTACCTGTAGGCCCAGCCAACCTGTGGATCATGTTGCTAGAGCTTGAGCTCCTTTGGGATCTGCTTTGCCATGCTTTTGAGCTTGAGGCTGGTGGATCCTGTCACCTTGCATTGCTTGCTTTAGATATCCCAACTTGGCCTACTTTGCTAAGCTCCAGAGCTATTGACTTGGTGACCCACCCTGCTGTTTGTTGCCTGTGGGTAGACTCTGCTGGCCTTGCCTGAGGGAGGACTCCAATGTCTGCTTCCTTGACCTTGGCAGCCCATGTGAGTTGAAGGACTTCCAGTTTATTAACTGTTCCATGAAGTGAATTGAACTGAACCCTCTGTACTACTGTGTGGATTAGTTAGCTGTTATATTCTTTCTCACTGCAGAAACCTCTCTCTCTGTCTCTCTATGTCTATCAATCTCCCTCTCTCCTGGTTTTGTTTCTAGAGAACCCTGCCTAACACAACCCTGATTTGTGCCCCTTGCCCAATTTCACAAATTCAGTAACTCAGATATCAAGAAATCTAGTAAACCACCAACTTGGAAATTCCACCTAGTAAAATACTTCATTAATAATATAATTAGATTTTTCATTTAATCAAAGTTTAAAAGAAAATTAAGTAACAGCTTTTAAAAATTACCATCCATCGTGACATGTACTTACCTAGCTCCCAAGATATCCTTCTTGGCAAGGCCAATGCCAGCTATAACTTTAACCCTCACGATTCGTGAATTTTCCTAAAAGATAAAAATTTACATTTTATTTTCAAGTACTTTGCAACTTAGCTAAGACACATGCCTTTAGACATATATTCAAATGAAATCATTATAATGTGCAGTGTGACAGAGTGCCTTTATCTAGCTTTTCTAGTCACGGTCTTGTAACTCCCACCAAAAGTTGGTGAGACTATGCAAATAATGCTCTTTTGGTCCACCAAGCAGATTGGATACTTTGCCAATAATGTAAATAAGGTGCATGGCACCCTTGTGATGTTGGGACAATGCAAAAAAGGCATATGAAGTCCTGACAAAGAGACTGGTCAGTGTGGCCATCCCACTAGGCTGAAAATGAGCCAGCTCAAAGGTGAAAATAGAGGAACTTCATTACTACCAAGAAGAGATAGGAATGGAGTAGATCACGTCCTTTGGACCCATGGTCCCAAGGTGACAACGTTCTAGACAGGGAGAGAGGAGAATGAACTGATAATGCGGACGTGTGAGAAAGACTGCGTCTGCGAGTGATCACAGTATCAGGAGATCAGTGTATGTCAGTGTAAAAAACTTCCCAGGCCACAAGCAAGGCAACTGCGAGAGTGTCCCAACCCACAGAGCCAAAGGGCTGAAAACCTTCATGCAAATAGGATTCCTGGTGGAGTGTGATGCCTTCAGGTATAAGTCAGAAAAGCTAGGCTTGCCGACCCATAGAGCAAAAGGGCTGAGCACCTTTGGGTCACAGGTTTCTAGAAGGGTGAGATACCCTTGAGCACGCAATGGTGGAGCTAAAGAACTTTCGGACACTTGTCTGAGTAAGGCACAGGCCAAGGGACTGGGGAGCCAACAAGCTGAGGGCCAAAGAGAGACCTATCTATGGGCACGACAGAGAAGCTGTGCTGACCAAAGAACTGTATCCTACATGGTTTCTGATTCTAAATTGTAACTGTTACTTCCTTAATAAACTCCACAATCAGAGTATTGTCTGTGAGTTTTGTGTAGCCATTGCAACATTTATCAAGCCCAGGAGAGCAGTAGAGTGTGTCATGCAAGAGAGAGCTGGTGTCAGATTCAAACTAGAGTTAAATTATCACAATAAGAATTTATTATTGCTTCTGTGAACGTCTACATTTGAACTAATATGAATCCATAGTTGTTTCTAGATATAAGATAAAACAAAAATTCATAATCATTTATATGAACTAATTAGAAAAGGCAATTACTTTTAAAAATCTACTTTCAAAACCATGTGTTGGATAATACCGAAATATATTGATACTGTAATGGAGCAATTATTAAGCTATTAAATTTCCTGTAAGTATCAATGGTATTAAAATTTTACACAAGAATGTTCTGAACAGATACAAATTGAAATATTTTGAGATTATGTGTCTGCAATTTACTCTCAACTGGCCCAGTATATTAACAATGTGAGGTGGCAACCCTTATGAAGAAATCACTGAAGAAATGGCGGTGTGAAGAAACCAGATGGTGCCCAGCTATCAGAAAGAATACTGTCTGGCATCTTAAAGGCTTATTTTAAAACAAGCAGTCATTTAAGCAAGGTGTCAATTACGTCCACATGGAAGAAGGATTGTAAATAATATCCTACTCTGAATGAAGAAATAGTATCAGAGCTTTAATTATGAGCATCTGGTTTTCAGAAGGTTATGGATGACAGTGGAAGCCCAAAATTCCATTGCAGGCTCCCCACAGGGATTAAGTCTCCAGTGAATCCCTCAGATGATGGTTGGCCTCAGATGATGGTTGAGGGATGTGACTATCAGAGACCATTGTAAAGTCAATTATGGAAGTTGTAGTTAGGTTAAAATGTGATACCTGACCATTTGATCTCCCTTTTGACCCACTTTTCTGTTGCTTCCATTTTTAATTATTTTCAGCTTTTTTAAAAAATTAGTTTTTCTATGTTTTGTTTCGTCATTGTTGTTGGGCTTTTTTGTTGTTGTTGTTTGTTTGTTTGCTTGCCTGCTTGCTTCCTGCTTGTATTTTGTATGATTTTCTGTATATGAACTCCAGGGCAGGTAGATCTATAGAGACAGTCCCTGGATAGGGGGAGGGCAGGAGAGGACAGGAGAAAATGGGTAGCCAACAAGTATGAGAAGAAAATGTTCTGAAATGGATGGTGGTGATGATTGCACAACTCTTCTTAATGTGAATGAATGATTAAATTGTATGAAATGTGAAATATATGCCAATAAAACTTTGTTTTAAATGTGAAGTGGCTATGGGGTTGGGAATAAAACGAAAGCACAGATGTAGTCAATTTGTGGATCTGAATGGCACATAAGTGTTTATTATACTGCTCCTGAAACTGTTGTGTAGGTTTGAAATTATTCAAAATACAAAGATGAGTAGAAAGATATTTTACTATATAAAACAGAATTTATGTTTTTAATGTATCAGGAAACGAAGCTATTAAATTCATAGAAATAAAAGTAGTAAGAAATACTGAAAAGTCCTAAAACTATAGCTAAAATAATAAAAGATCACCAGAAATCAATAAAGACATTCACTGTGTGTGTCAATGTTTACCCCAAAGTCATCTGTAAATTCAGTACAATTCTGACCTTCCTCACTTCAAATTTCCTCATGAATCTTTAAGAGTCTAAAATTGATAGAGAATAGTAAAACAGAGTAAAGAAGCAAATAATAAAAGTGGTGAAGAAAGCTGATGGTTCCCGGCTATCAAATGATATAGCGTCTGGGGTCTTAAAAGCTTGAAGATAAACAGGCGGCCATCTAGCTAAGAAACAACAAAGCCCACATGGAAGAAGCACACCAGCCTACCCCGACAGGAACGCTGAAGACCAAGCGGGTGCGTAGGAAAAAGCGGTGAAGAAGGCTGATGGTGCCCAGCTGTCAAAATATATAGAATCTGGGATCCTATAGGCTGGAAGATAAACAAGGGACCATCTAATTGAGAAATAACAAAGCCCACATGGAAGAAGCATACCAGCCTGTGAGATCACAAGGCGTCGAAGGGACCAGGTATCAGGCATCAAAGACCAAAAAAAGTCCATAGCATTGTGAATGAGGGGGAGTGCGGAATGAGGACCCAGGGTCCATCTGTGAGAAATTGGACATCCCCTTGCAGAAGGGCTGCGGGGAGATGAGCCAGTCAGAGTGTAGTGTAGCAATGATGAAATATACAATTTTCCTCTAGTTCTTGAATGCTTCCCCCACCCCCACTATCATGATCCCAATTCTACCTTACATATCCGGCTGGACTGGAGGATGTACACTGGCACAGACAGGAAATGGAAATACAGGGAATCCAGGACAGATGAACCCCTCAGGACCAGTGGAGAGAGTGGCAATATCGGGAGAGTAGAGGGAAGGTGACGGAGAAAGGGGGAACAGATTACAAGGTCTACATATAACCTCCTCCCTGGGGGATGGACAGCGGAGAAGTGGGTGAGGGAGATGTCGGATGGTGTAAGATATGATAAAATAATATTAATTTTTAAATTATCAAGGGTTCAGGAGGGAGGGCGGCGGAGAGGGGAAAAAATGAGGAGCTGATACCAAGGGCTCAAGTAGAAAGCAGGTGTTTTGAGAATGATGATGGCAACATATGTACGTATGTGCTGGACACAATTGATGTATGTATGGATTGTGAAAAGAGTTGTATGAGCCCCTAATAAAATGATTTTTAAAATAAATAAATAAAATAAAAGCTCACAGCATACTCAAAAGAAAAGAAAAGAATAACCTTAGTTTTGATCTTTCTCTTTGATCTCATAACAATCTTAGGGTTACATTTTACATAAGAATACAGGCTTCTGAGGTATATATTTTTTAATATTAAAAAACCAGAGACACTTTTGCCCTCCAGATTAACATCTAAGTAACTGTCAATTGTTAAAAATGAAAACAAAATAAAATGAAAATTTGTTCATTTCACCAAAAAAAAGAGAAGCAAATAACATTCGCCTGCTATCTTATATTATGTAAAGGGGGAATACAGATAAAGCATAAATGAAACTGTTCAAAAAATCCCTACGAAGCTTTGGAATATTTCTGTGGGGTAGCAGATAAATTAAAACACACACACACACACACAAAGGAAAAATGGCTAAGACTTGACAATGTTAAAATTAAATATCTTTGTATGAGAAAAATGAAAAACAAAAAAACAAGGAAACCAAACTAAGTGGAGGTATCTGAAGCCGAATGATAATTACCCATAATATATGAGGCTAAGTAAAAAAGCATTGCTAAATGGTTCCAGTTTATGCATACGTGCATAGGTTTATTCCAAACAAACCATGAGTGGGCGGCTGCAGACAAGCTCTCTCAGGGATACACTTTTCTCAGTCTTGCTACAGTGTCTCTAAAAAAATCTCCAACCAAACAGTAACTTCCACAGGCATCTATGGAGCCAGATGCAGAGAAATTGACTCAGGGGTATGGCAAGTGTTTTAGGGAATCAAACATGGCAATCTTGTAAGATTTTCTAGAAGGACACAGGATGATCATTGAGGCTTATTAGGAAGCAGTTTTAATAAAACTGAAAATTACATAGGTGAGGAAAAGCCAGGCTAAGTTTTACCAAGGAATTATTTTCCATCACAACAATGTATCTGCTCATTCTTAAGGGCTATGCTACAAGAATTTTGTTGGAAAACTTTACCCCTACACTCTTCAGCCCTGATCCTGCCCTTCAGACTTCTTCCCCCCCCACACAAAATACTCCAAAGATACGTTAAAAAAAACATCATTTGACTCCTCTAGACTGTCAACATAGCAGTGTAAATGGAAGTGTGCAGAAATCTTGAGGAAGGGTTAGAGAGATGAACACCCACCTACCTTCGGAAATGTATAGACCTAGCTGGAGGCTATGTTGAGAAACAGTAGCTTCATCTTCTGATATTGTTGTATAACAAAGGTTCTTATCATCTTATGGAAATAGGTTTTGACTCACCCTTATATAAAGAACTCATAACTCAATAGGAGAGTAATGTCATAGGGGAAAAAACCCATACAGAATTACCAATACAAATATT